TTCTTAGTACCTCATCTGAATCCATAAAATATGTTGTTGTAACAAAGGCCACAGGTCCTTTCCCACCACTGGGCCACTTTCCACTCTTGCTGTCTCCTCCTAATGATTAGGCTCTGTCCCCTTTTTCATACATCTACTACTGTGAGTGAATATACACATTTGAAGCCATGGATATCAATACTGCTCAGCATTAGCCCCCATCAAACCTGGAACACCTTCCCCTTCCTTCACTCATGGATCTGCTAAAGTGCTGCATGTGGCAGCGATTAAAGCCATTTTCTTGGATTAATGTGCTCCGCACACAGTGTCGTACAAAGGATTTATCCAAAGAACAATTAAAGCGCCTGGTCATTATCCCCCACTTTCAAAATTCTTCAGAAGAGCGCAATTGCAAGCAAGAGCAGAGAGGAAAACTCAGCCACATTTCTGGGTGAGCAGAGGAGCTCCGACTGGTACGTAGAAATCAGGAACTCTACTAAACATTGTTATCTCCTTACAGCAATGCAGTGAAAGGAAAAGGCAGAAATGCATCTGTAAGAATGCTACTTTCTGGTCTTTTATCAAATATTCTGCAGAGAATGATGGAAGATTGAGACAGATGAGGAATCTGAGAACTGAAATCCAGAAGTTTGTTACTCTAGAGATCAGTGCGAAATAGGAAGCTGGATGGGGGAAGGAGCCTCATTTTGGTAGCTAAGCTCATGTAATTTTGGTTAACTGTCATCTTTATTCATAGAGGGGTTTTATTTGTAAATGTCCCCAAGCTTAAAAATGCAAGTAATGCAGTGCACGTCTTACAAACATATTATGCCTGGGGGACAGCAGCAACATTGCTGACTCCTGCAACTAGATATTTAACATTAAAAAAAAAAAAAATAGACAGTAATACCCTGTTTATTCTGGCCAAGCAGGAAACATATCCTGGTAAATATTAGCTAAGACATAGTTGGGTTACCTTTGCTGATTTAAACTGAAAGGACTTTAAGTGCTGTATTATACAACTTGCTTTATATAATCTTCTCTAGACAGTCTGTGATATATGCTTGCAGCAGTCTTATACAGAAGGGAATTTTTCTCCTGTTGAAGCAAATCAGTGTACTTGAGTGGTGTGTGGGAGCAAGAAAGATTTGTTGACGGGAGAATTCCCTATGTCATCCTGCCTGAAAAAGGATATAATTCTTTTGACTTTGACCTACCTGGGGGTAGCTTAAACAGGGCTTGTAAAACAGTCTGTGAAGAGGACATGTGAGATTTGCAGAGTTAGAAAAAGAATGGTAAAGTAGGTTTGGGATCTCTTTGCAATGTTGCAGTTTGAAGACCATGCTGATTCACCTCACCCATCAACTCTGATCAATAGCCATTGAATTGTCTGAACAGATCCATGGTCAAATTTCCTGGAGATTCCCAGTGAAAGGTGAATCTGACTCCCTCTGTGCCATGAGGTTAGTAACTTATGACCCACAGGCACAAGAATTTTCCTTCAATATTTCTCCTGCCTCACGTGCATTCAGTAGGATGAGGAGCAAGCCTGCTGTGGCTCACTTGTGCAAAAAATATGTGCAACTCCAGACATTTTGCAAACCTAGTGCCTCTATTTAGATACCTACCATCACTGGTCACATTACTTCAGAAAAAGACAAACTACAGGAGAGTAATCGCAGCTGAAATTGCACATTTCCACACAGTGAAAGAAATACAGGAGGCAAAACTTAAATAATGGAAAACTTCTGACAATGGCCTGGAATATTCTTTTTGCTCAAACTGTATATTAACACAAACACATTAAAAGTATGTCAAGAAAACAGAACTTGAGGATTGTTTAGAAAATGACCTCATTTCCCCCTTCCTCAGATATCTGCTTAAAGTTTAACCTTCGTCAGCACCATTCACAGCCAATAAATTCAGCAGCAAAAGTTTAAAACAGTGAAAAGCCGCATTACACAAGTGACCTTCATTTTTTACTTCCTAATTTTAACTGAAAGCAGGAGGAAGGTGAATTCATTGTAAGAGCAGAAAGAATACAACTGCAAGACACAGAAAATCATTCGTTCTCAGGGTTGTTGCTAAAGCAAGGACATTAAATGATGGAACATACTACTGCTTTACAAAGGGCAATTAATTCACATTTATATTCTTTCAACTCTGGTAATTTCCTATTTCTCCTTTGCTATTGATTACTGTATGGGAGACGGAGAAGGTCTTTAGATAACTATGTATAATGGAAGGATTTCTCTGCTTTAGCCAACTAAAGCATTAGGCAGTTTCTCTCAGCTGGTCTAGATACCTACAGGCTGACTGAAAGATTTGGCCGGAGAGCAGTTCATTCTCTCATAGAACAAGCATGCTGACAAGGAGATCCACAAAGGATGCCTGTCCTTCCTCCATGGACAATTAGCAGGAGGAGGATGAGTAACATCTCACATTTAAGTGGCTGAAGTTAAACGAGATGAGTTTCACAACTATGACTCATATTGGCATGTCTAACACTCTATGCCTATGTATTATCCCCATTCTGCATGTATGAAACAGGCTTAAAGGAACTAAAAAATTGTTTCACTAGGTATGTGAGCATATCATTCTTATGAAAATCAAGTGAGACCTGGTCAGTTTTATACTGATTTGTGCCCAAGTATTTTGCTTGATAACATGATGCAGGGTTTCAGGTTAGTGTTATAGTATGCTTAGCTTGGCAATTGCATTTTAGAGCCTGGATGAATGCACACCATTTAATGTGCAGCACATCTCAGGAAGAGGTCTCCGAATCACCTACAATTTGAAAAATGCTCTTTTGTGGAAAGGCAGTGTTGAACATTTTCCAGTTGCTACCTCCAAATGAACAAAATAAAACATTAACTTTTTTACCACATACTTATATATTATGTAAGTAACTATACTGTCATGGGGTTCATGCAACAAATCTGTTGTAAAGGCAAGAGAGTCATAAACTCCCTTTCAGATCACTGCTATCAAGCCCATACATACACACTAGCAGGAAGAAAAACAAAACAAAACAAACACAAACTTTCTCTCATTCCTAATTCTGCCAGGAACAAAAGGGAAGCTATTTGTATTCTTGCATGTGTCACTACAGTCAGACTGCCAGTCCTTGCTCACGCTTCTGCGCTAACCCCTTTGATATTCTGCCTTACTCCATAATGGGAAGCCTATAGGCTTTTCTTTTCAGTAGGTTTTCAGGAATAGGAAGGCTTTCCAGTTCTGAGTTTGCTGAAACCAAATTTTATCTCTAGGCACAATTTGGAAAAGAGAATTACAAATTAAGCACTTTAACAGAATTATCATACATAAGGATTAGGTATGAGATCCAATTAGTTTTCCTTTGGTGCCAGCGTTCCTAAGGTGAAAAACCTGACAACAGCCTGATGCAGGCCCCAGCTCTTGTAATTCCACTGCCAGCAATGCACTGCCCTGACTGGAGGCCAAGTTTTCATTCTTTAAGTTAATAATAAAGTTTTTGCAGAGTTGTGATCAAGACTGAAACCTAAGGAGGGAGACCTAAGCATTTGTTTTGCTCCTCCAACAGAGCTCCAAAGTGGCAGCACCTAAGAGGAAACATTCCCAAGAACTCAGGAAGAAAGACAGCTCTTTCTGAACAGACCACCATCCATGGAAGTTGCAGGTCCCTGAAACACATGGGTCTCTGCATGACTGGGGACACAATGTCCTTATAGATGCAGTAAATTCCGAGTAGCCTGTGAGTCACCAGTAAAACTATTTTCCTTCAAGTTCTTTCCTTAATTTATTTGTTTTGAAGCTGAAGCATTCTGCCCCCAAGAAATGTGATTATAGGACACAGTGAAATTTAGCTGCATGAGAAGAATCTTATTCAAAGGCTGAATAAATAAGCATAGAGTGTACATTTTGGGGGCAAGTTAGTGCTGCGTGCTAATTTAACATGTCCTCTCTGGCAGCAGAACATATCTTATGCTTGAAGGGTGACCAACTCTGCAAGCAATTATTTCTTCCTTGAAGAACATATCTAAATTCTGGGTCAAAATCTGACCCTGGATCTGTCTGTGAACATAGCAGGCAATCTTTAACTTTGATTTATGAATCAACCTCTCCCTACACCTGTCTCGTTTGCTCCAGGCCTAGTTTCCAAAAGAAGGTATATCCATTTGAACATGTCCTTAGCATCTCTCCCATTAGCTATTCATATTCCTTAGGTTTAGTTAAACAATGCCAGTCGTAAGGGATAAAATGAACAGGGGCAGGGGGCTAAATCTTGTCCCTTTAAGAAAGGATTTCAAAATCTGACCCCTTTTTTTTTTGCATTACCTGTCTTGGGAGTAGGCTCCCCTTGAAGCTCATTTTTTTTTCTTTAATTCAGACCTGAAAGTTGTCTTCTAAGTCTTTTTGAAATTTCAAAGCTTGAAACTCACACCCTGAAGCTCTATCTTTTAATATGTTAAAAATAACTGCCTATATCCAGCTTCAATAGTACCTTCATGCCTTCTCCCATTTCTCCCCAAGTTCACTATCCACATCACATGCAGAGTCTCCACATGCTGATGTATAAACACATGCACTTATGCTTAGACAAGCATTGTCCCATCTCCTAAAAAAAAGCAGGAAGAGATCTGAAAACCCAGTGTAAGCCTATCAAAAATTACCTGCCTCTCTATGCTTCTTATTGCATCCTGCTCAGCTTATTCAGCTGAGCAGGGTACAGTATTTACAACTTCCTTTGAATACATCAGCTGTTAAGTTTAATAATTTGTTTGCAAAGTTTGCTGAGCAAAGAGCAGTGATTATTTTTTGCTGGAATGCTCCTTAGGCAAGAATCTGTTAGTTCCTCACATACTGACTGAAACTTTTGCCCACTTGCTGAGGGAAAATATGCAAATGATATAACTTTTTTTCCTAAACAAGTGTCTTGAGACTTGGGCAGAATTTATTCCTTGCCTGCGGGAACAAATGAAACCTATATTACCCTTAATTTTTTAAATTTCTCATTCTCCAGAACACTATCAGCAGGAGGAATGTTCAACTACCTCCGGAAACGCTTCGCCAGGCACATCACAGAACGGAGCAGACGAAGAGCAAGGCTCGTCTCTAAAGATGGAAGGTGTAACATAGAGTTTGGCAATGTAGAAGAACAGTCAAGGTTTGTCTTTTTGATTGATATATGGACAACAATCCTGGATCTCAAGTGGAGATACAAAATGACTATCTTCATTTCAGCATTCTTAGGCAGCTGGTTTCTATTTGGTCTCCTCTGGTATGTTGTGGCATACATACACAAAGATCTTCCAGAATTCAACCCTTCCATAAATCATACCCCTTGTGTTGAGAACATCAACGGCTTGACTTCGGCTTTCCTGTTCTCCTTAGAGACTCAGGTGACCATTGGTTAT